AATAGTCCTGTATTCCTTAACTTAAACCAGTCTACTAGCCAAATTAAATAGGATGCCTCAAAATATAACTTCAAATTAGGTATAAACAGACCCCCTCTTTCCACTTTATCTTGAAGAACCTTTAGTCCTAGGCTTCTTCCCGCCCCAGAGAAATGTGGAAAGGTCATGATGCCACATTTTAAATGATTTGTCATTTACAATGATGGGTAAGTTCTGAAACGGGAAAAGCATTTTTGAGAGAACGTTCATTTTTATCACAGATATTTTCCCTAACCAAGAGATTTTCAAGTTTTTCCATTTCTCTAGGTCCTTCTTAATCTCCCGCCACTTCCTCTCATAATTATTTTTAAACAGATCTACGTTCTTGGTTGTGATGTTTAGACCTAAGTATTTCACTTCCTTTTTAATTTGAAAGCCCAATTTCTCCTGAACTTCTCTCCTCTCTGCCTTTGTTAAGTTCATGGTCAGAATTGCTGTTTTCTCTCTGTTGATCTTCAAACCTGCCGCTAAGGTAAATGTTTCCAACTCCGATAAGGCCTCATCAAGGCAACTTGGGTTTGTTAATGTTAACACCAGATCATCTGCGTATGCTCGTAATTTATGATGTCTGCCCTTTATTTTAAGACCTTCTATGACTGTATTTCTTCTGAAGTTATTATTAAGTATCTCTAAAATCATCAGGAACAAAAGAGGTGAAAGAGGACAACCTTGCCTCGTCCCTTTTTCCACTTGGAAAGATCTTGTTTTTCCTTCATTTACAATCACTTAGCTGTCTGTTTATTGTAAATAAACTTGATCCAATGCATAAACCTGTCTCTAACATTGATCTTATGTAAACATTTCAGCAAAAACTCCCAGCTCACACTATCAAAAGCTTTCTCGAAGTCGATGAAAATCATCACCAACTTGCGGTTAATATCCTTTTCTTGATGTTCTATTATATTAAGCAAATGTCTCACATTATCTTTAATACCATTTCCGGGTGGAAACCCATTCCGATCAGGCCCAATCCACTCATTCAATACCTTCTTTAATCTGTTAGCCAAGATCATCGCAAATATTTTATAGCCCACATTTAACAGAGAAATGGGACAATAATTTTTAATCTCTGTTCTATCTTTACCTTCTTTAGGAATTAAGCAATAGTAGCTTCAGTCCATGAGTTCGGACAATTTTCCATGTCGGCATTCATAACCTTTTCCAAAGGTATTATCAACTGATTCAACACAGACAACACACAGTTCTCCTGGGAACCACTCCTCCCTACCCAGGGTCTCACAGTATATATACAACCAGGCTTTTCCATCTCAGTTTTCTCTGAAGATGCTAGCCATAGATGCTGGCGAAACGTCAGAAAGAAATCCCAGGAGCTATTGGCCAACATGGGAACATTGGCCAACATGGCTGAGGCTTCTGGGAGCTGAAGTCCCTCGGCCCTTAAAGGGGAAAGGTTGCCTACCCCTGTTGTACAAAATGGCAAAATCAAGGTTTGATTTTTGGATATATATATTTTTAAAAATCAAGCCAGGTATGATTGAACCTGTGGACGCAGAATCTGTCGATACAGAGGGCCGACTATCCTTTTCTACCCCAGTAACAAAATAGTCTCTTCAAAAGGGAATGCACACACACACACCCGCATGAAGGGCCATTCTCAATGCCAGCCATTGTATGGTCAACCCAAGCATGTCACTTGGATGCTACCATTGTCCTTGTGAGGAAATTTCTCACTAAATGTACACCATCTGTTTCTTTTCTTATCCTCTCTGCCCGTCTGCAAAAGTAACAGTGAGTGTGCTTGGGAAGCAGTTATTCTGCTGAATGGTGCCAATATATGATCTATGTTAGCAGAACTGCTGGTTCTAAACTGATGAAAAAAGAATAGTCATCACATTTTGTCGGGTTTGGAAATACAATTCCACTAGTCTTAGCACCTCATAGTAACTGGCCCAGGCTTTCCGTGGCATGCCAGGCTGCATTACTCAAGTAAATGTTTCTCTTCAAAGGATGTGATAGTACTGAAATATTGCCATACCTTTCGGCTGCATTTTCTAGGTCATTTTGGCATATACACCCAGAATTGGCATTTGTCAACCAGCTGTTCATCGGGAGTGAGTATCATTGCTAGTGTGTTCCACGTTTAAAGTGGCTCAACAATCACAGACCCATTTGTACTGAAAGGCCATCAGTGACTCTGCACATTGCTCTTGTTTCCCTTTTGTTGAGCCTCAAATACCACATGAGGATGCAAAATGTTTGTAGGCAGATTATTGCTCTAAAGAGGCAGCACCCTATGATTGGATGCCGCAGTTTTCCAAGGCTTCATGCTGCTCCTCATACACCCCAACCAAGAGCATTAGGTCCATGTGTTCAACTCAGGGTTGTCAAAGTGCAATCACTTTGAATTTGGTAGGCTTTCTCTCCTTCTGTGCCTTGAGGACATGTGCCTTTCTATTTTTCTCATGGATTTTGTGGTAAAGAATGTTTGTGTGAGGAGCAGTTTGAAGGTTTTTGCATTGTTTCATTGTCTGCATTCTTTTTTTGGCCATGGCTGTTGCTGCATTATGCCTGTGCTCTATAATGAAGTATTACTAGTTGTCTTTTCTAAGTCCATCCATCCCTTCTTTAGATGACATACATATCCCTGTTTGGTCTTCTCTGGACAGGTACCTTTGTGTAGTGGATGGGGATGGAAGGAATATTCTAAAATATTCCAAAAAATGATAATTTAAAAACCCTTGATATTCAGGTATTGAGAAACCCTGATTAGAAGAATCCTAGACTGACAAGAATCTTCCCAGCTTGAGACTTCACAGACTAACATGAATAGTTGCAATCCTGTGCAAAATTTTCTGTAGAAATCAGCATTAAAGTTGTTTATTAGGTAGAAAATGCTGTTTTCTATATAGGAGAACTACATTCAAATTTTTGCAAAGAGTAAGTCCTAAACTGTGAATAAGTTTCCTATTTTTTGTTGTTGTTAACTGCATTTGTGTTGATCTTGACCCATGGCAACCCTGCTGATGAGACATCACCATGACCCTCTGTTCTCTATGGCTCTGCCCAGCTCCTGCAAACTCATATTCTTCATCTCATTAATAAAGTCCATCCATCTGGCATGTGGCCTTCCTCTTTTTCTGCTTCCCTCCACTTTTCCTAGCATTATTGTTTTTTCTCCCAATGATTCATGCCTTCTCATTATGTGCCCAAAGTATGTCAGCCCAAGATTTGTCATCTTGGCTTCCAGGGAGATTTTTGGATTGATTTGCTCCAGGATCCATTTGTTTGTCTTCTTGACTGTCTGTGGAATCCTCAGCACTCTTCTTCAGTACTACATCTCAAATGTGTTGATTTTCCTCCTATCTTCTTTCTTTCTCACATCCGTACATGGTAATGGGGAATACAGTGGCTTGTATGTTTCTAACTTTTGTACAGAGTTGTATATCTTTGCATTTTAGAATCTTTTCAAGTTATTTCATAGCTGCCCTCACCATTTTTAACCTTCTTCTGACTTCCTGGCTGTAGTCCCTGTTCCTATCAATGCTTGATCCCAGATATGAGAACTCTTTTACTATTTCTATTTCCTCATTGTCTAGTTTGAATTTGTGTAGATTCTCCATGGTCATTATTTTTGTTTTCTTTATGTTCAACAGCAAACCTGCCTTTGCACTTTCTTCTTTGATCTTCCTTAGTTGTTGTTTGAGCTCTGGGAGGTTTTCTGCTAGTACTATGGTGTCATCTGCATATCTCAGATTATTGATATTCTTCTTCCTATTTTCATTCCTTCCTCTTCTGTGTCCAAGCCT